AGCGGCTCGAAAAGCACATTCGCAAACGCATTGATGGGGCGCTCGAACCACAAGATGACGCGGCCGATGATGAGCTTGGTCATGATGATGATGACGAGCCACACGCCGAGCTGGATGAGCCAGACGCTAGTAGTTGTCGTACATGAGGCAAGGCGACGACGAGAGACTTACCGCGTCTGGATCGGGTTGCCGTAGAAGCCCGGCACTTGGAGCGCTTTCCAGTGGAAGCGACGCTATAGGACAGAGTTGCATCATGAGCATCCTGTGTGCTGTCGGCGGCAGAGACGCCAAGAAAGATGGTCGTACCGCAAGGAGCACGGAGCAGTGGAGGAGGAACCAGTTGAGCGCGACGCCAAAGCTCGTGTCAAGAGTAAAGTTGATAAAGTAAAAGGCGCACTGCAGAATAGCCCATGAGCCACCAAAGATGGTCGTGGGATCGCACCTCGTCCGCGTTTTCCTTCTCGGTCGAGTATTGCACGAGCAAAATCGCAATCGTGAGGTTCGCCGCGTGCGCCCAGCCCGCGCCGATGCACTGCTTGGACGCGTCAAAGAGCCACACCTACGCATGAGCATGAGCCATGCGCCATGAACGTTCGCTTGTAGTACGTACGCGGAACGGGCGCTGCGGGTGTTCAAAGTACCGCTTGCAGATGAGGACGGACATGGCGATGAGGCCAAGCGAGACTTGGATAAAGGTCTCAAAGGGCCCGCTGAGGAGCTTGCACTCGTTGGCGACGATCGACGTCGAGTTCGCGGCCACCATACTCGTCCTGCTCTTGCTGCGTAGAATCCTGGAGTAAGAACGGAGGGCGATGGAATGAGCGACTCTTGAGAAAATCTTGGCTCTCTTATTATTCGTGCGCTATACAGAGTATTTGTATGCATAATTGATTTGGTTTTAAATCACTTGAAATGCGAGAGTGGTTGTGGCGAGCGCATGTCAGTTGGATGATGAATGCTGGATGCTGGATACGCAAATTTTGCGCAAAGCCAAGGGGATGGGCCATCGCGTCAAGAGAGGGTCCCGCCGTGACGTCAGCGACCCAGCATCGCGCCACGGCCGCCGACACCCTCGCTGCCTATTCCATCGACCGCAACAGAGCGGATTCGGCTCTGGAATCCGAGATTCGTCGCAAATATTCGCGCTCGCTGGCTCCAACCATGATCCATGATACGAACAGGTCCTCCTC